GAATGAAGAGACTTTGCCTTGCTTACTTTGGGCATGCCCTCAGGACAGACCCATTTCTAGAGAGGACATCACATCTGGTAAAGTGAAGGCTCAGGGAAAATGAGGGGACCTGCCTATGGGATGGGTGGACACAACAACATCAACATAGGGCCCAAAGTATCAAAGATCAAGAAGATGGTGCAGAATGGGCAGAAGCTCATTCTGATGCACATGGGGAGGGGGGTCGCCTCGTTGTGACACACACGGGGTCTCCATGAGTCAGAGCCAACTTGATGGCAAATTAGCAATTAATGACTATCTCACTTGAGTAGTCATTCTATCAGCATCTAAAGCTATTAGTGAATTTGTTTTTTTCATGATTCTGGAGAAGTTTAGCAGTCCCTGTTGCCAATGGTATGGAATTTGAAGTCAGACCCAGGTCTTGGTTGTTGGTGGCCTTCTTGTGAAGGAAGTAAGGAGGGTACTGTTGTTGTTGTTGTCAGGTGCCATGGAGTCGGAACCGACTCATTGCGACCCCATGCACAGCAGAACGAAACAATGTCCGATCCTGGGCCAACCTCACTACCACTGCCACTCTTGAGTCCATCAATGATGACACCTGGCCAATCCATCTCATTAGGGGTCTTCTTCTTTTTCTCTGACCCTCCACCTTACCCAGCATGACATCCTTCTCCAACGACTCTTCCCTCCGGACAATGTGTCCAAAGTATGAGAGATGAAGCTTAGCCATCTTGGCCTCCAAGGAGCACTCTGGTTGCACTTCTTCCAAAACAGAACTATTGGTTCTTTTGGCAGTCCATGGCACTTTCAGTATTCTCCTCCAACACCACAACTCAAAGGTATCAATTCTTCTACGATCTTCCTTATTCACTGTCCAGTTTTCACATCTATATGAGGTTATTGAAAATACCATGGCTTGGGTCAGGCGCACCTTAGTCCTCAAGTTGACATCTGTGCTTTACAATACTTTAAAAAAAAGTTCCTGTGCAGCAGATTTGCCCAATGCAATATATCGTCTGATCTCTTGACTGCTGCTTCCGCGAGTGTACTAGGAGGGTACTAGAAACTGAAAACTGCAAAGTCCCTCCTCTATATTGTTGTTGTTGTTACATGCTGGCGAGTCATCTTTGACTCATAGCAACCCTGTATAGGGTTTCCAAGGAGCTGCTGGTGAGTTTGAACTGCCGACCTTGTGGTTCAAAGTGACCTTTCTGTCCAGTGCTTATCCTACAGTGCCACACCAGGACTCCTCTATGTTGTTGTTGTGAAGTGCTGTTGACTTGGTTCTGACTCATAGCCATTGTATATAGGGTTTTGGAAGACTGCTGTTCAAACCAAACTTGCAGTCTAGTGATTATCCTGCAGCACTACACCAGGGCTCTGGACTCCTCTATAAAAGATACTAGAAGGTGCTTTTCCAAGAATTGTTTCATTACTAATTTCTCTGATCCCCACTTTCTCATCAGTAAAATAGGCATAATAGGATAAGCACTGCATTGCTAACCAAAAGGCCAGTGGTTCAAACCTGCCAGCTGCTCCTTGAAAAGCCTATACAGGATCACTATGAGTCAGAACTGCTCAACAGTACTTAATAGTAACAAGCGTATTAATGGTTGAAGGAAATGAACCATATGAAATCGCAATGTGTTAATAAAAAAAAAGCAACAGCCAGCTAAATATCAACATGCCTAGAAATTCCAGGCCAGTGCATTCAAAAAGGGACTTCAAAAAGTTCATGGATAAAAGCAGTTCAAAGATATCGGAATTTTCCTGTGATCTTTCTGAAGTCCCCTTGTATAACTATGAACTCCACTAGTACTTTCTTCTTGTATTTCTTCCACGCATATAAATGATGCCAGTGGTTTCAGCTTTCTGTTTATATGTTTAGGAAGACATTTACTGAACAGACTTCTAAAAACACCCACAAACATGAAATATAGAAATAAAAAAATGAAGATGATCCCTGTCACCTTGCTTTAGCATTATGTTGGTGAATTACGATCTTGTCAGTTTCATTGTTCCATTGATTCTAAAGGATTGCAGAATAGGTCTTACTAAGCATGGGATTTTCCTTCCCAGAGGAACTGTTCTAAGCCCCATCTGAGTTTCTGCCTGCCTTGCACTTGTGTGGACTGCTCTGTTTACACCCTGAGCAGCTCCAAGTGACACTGAATGCCAGCCTGTGCCTGTGTCTGCTCACGTTCATGGAGAGCAGTCAGATACCTTGTCTGAGGTCTCCCTGCCAGTGAATATTAGGGGTAGACTCCAGAGCCAGGGTTGGAGCCATCTGTTCCTTCTCAGACTGTGAAGTTATTGTATAAATAGAAGCCAGAGCAGTTTACCAGAGCTGTTTAGTACGGCAGGTGACCTGAACCAGAGTGTTGGCATGGTTGGCAATACATGAGTGCCGGCTCAGATGTTTCTTGGCTGGGTGATCTCAAGCAACTTATGTAACCTCTCTAAGCCTAGGTGTTGTCCTCTGAAAAATGGGGATATTAATAATTCCTTATTTATAACTTTATCTGTTTATAGACTTCAGGGTCGGTGGTTCAAACCCATCAGCTGTTCATCATAAATCCTATACAATGTTGCTGTGAGTTGGAACAGACAGCACTTAACAACAACACTTTATCTCTCACGCTCTATCATATAAAATTTGTTGTAAGGCTTAGAGGAGAAAGCTATGTAAAGTCTCTCTCTAGGAGTCTGCCTGGCATGTAAGCATTCAATATTTTGTTGTTGTTGTTAGGTGCCATCGAGTCAGTACCGACTCATAGAGACCTGTTGTTCATGCACAACAGAACAAAACACTACCCGGTCCTGGGCCAACCTCACAATTGTTGCTACGCCTGAGCCCATAGCTGCTGCTACTATGCCAATTCATCTAGTTGGGGGTCTTCCTCTCCCCTCCCTCCACTTTTACCAAAAATGATGTCCTTCTACAGTGACTGGTCAGTATTTTAAGAGTTATTATTAATAAATGTAAACTACCAATATATGTGAGTTTGGTTGCTCTGCAGGATAAGCACTGGACTGTGAACCACTAGGTTGGTGTTTTGAACCCACCAGCCGCTTGGCGGGAGAAAGATAAGACTTTCTTTGCCCACAAAGATTTACAGCCTTGAAAACCTTATACAGGGTTACCATAAGTCACAATGAACTTGTCAGTATTTAACAACAACAACAACAACGAACAGAATGGACAGATTCCTACTTCTAGTGTTTCTATAAGCCTTTGCAGAGAATAAAGGTCTGTGCTTGGTGCTGAACAAAAATCCTTGGCTCACTGTGGATTTTGAGAGTAAGTTTTAGACTGAGGTAGCCGTTGATTTCCGCATCTAGACACACACACCCCTTCACATTATTACAAATAAGTGTGGAGGCTGCTCCGTATATACTCACTGGTGAATCGGGACTGGCGCTCCCCGAGCCCGCACTGCCGCACCTTACACCCTCGGAAGATCCCGTAGTAAATGTCCCCAATGAAATTGACCAGCTCGGAATCCGTGGCGTTGACTAGGTCCACTCCAGTCTGACAAAGGATCTTCCCACTGAGCCAGTGGGGCACTGCCAAGGCGACAATGATGAGGACGAAGGAGGAGAAGCTGAGCAAAGACGTCAGCCCGTACCACGTCTTCTTGAACCATCCAGGCATCCTAGTGGGCGCAGAAGGTCATCCCCAGCGTCTGCGGGCAGCCGTGGGGGACACTGGCATCTTTTAGATACTCGGCAATCCCCTGTTCCCAGGTTAACTCTTCCAAACACATCATTCCAAGTGTTTCCTTGTCTCTTAAACTCTGCCTTCAGTGTTTACTACAACCACATACATCCAGTAAGCCTTTACAGAGGGACTTCACCTGACGGTGGAGGACTTTGTTACTGATCGGAGTAACCCTACACCTCTCACCAGACTAATGTTTCAGCTCATTGTTTAATTGTTCCCGGTTCCAAGTATTTAAATAATCCTCGTGTGGCTTCATAACTAGGGAGTTATTCAAAGGCGAAACCTAGATCTGAACTGCTAACCATTCTCAAAAATGCACGCGGTACAAAGAAAACCAAAACGGACCCATTAGCACTTGAAGATTGCCAACAATGCACGCTATCGAATGTCGATCTCTTTGATGTCTTCCCTGGCTTTTCTTTCTCTAAATGTCAGCCGCTGTCAGAATCCCAGCTAGATTACTAATACCACGCAATAGCTTGTTCTCAAGGCTCTTCATTGAACTGTGTAAACAAGGCTTTCCAATTGATCACTGGCCTATCTGCTGAGAGTGAAGTTGCAACATTAGTCAGTCTGGACTCCAATGCTTACACCCCCTCTCCCCCAATACCTTTCATGTCATCTGAAATGGGACAGACAAGTTTTTCTAATGTGTTGATCAATAACAGCCACCTTGCTAGGATTTGTATCTAATATTGAAGAGCTATCTTTTTCTTTCAATCTGTAGGCAATTGGGATATTCACTAATTCTACAGTGTACTGTGGCCTTTATTTTATTATTTTACGTTGACAAAAAAATAAAATCAAATCAAAGCATCTCAAAGCTGCCCAAACCCACTGTAGTTGAGTCTATTTGGATTCACAGTGACCCCATAGGACAGAGTAGAACTGCCCCATAGGGTTACGAAGATGTCTTGGTGTGGTGTTGTAGGATAAGCACTGGAGTGCTAGTATCTCCTTGGAAGCCCTATATAAAAGGTCACTACAAGTCAGCCAACAATAATAATAATCTTTATGAAATCAGATCCGCACATCTGAACCACTGACCAAAGCCACCAGAACTCCATCATCAAACTGCAAAGAAATGAAATCATAGAAGGTTTATCTGAGCAATTAGTTTGTAAGCATAGGAAAAAATACCCTTTTGTTCAGAGGAATGGAGGATTCTACCATTTTGTTGTTAATTGCCAGCGAGTGGGTTCCAACTCATAGTAACCCAGTATAGGGCTTCGGCTGGTAAATTTGAATCACTGACCTTGAGGTTAGTAGTCCAGTGCTTATCCTATAGCACCAAGTTTGTTAAAATGAGAGTTTTAAAGAGAAAGGGAGTAACTATAGAGCAAATTTTAACTGTGGTCTAATCTAGCTGTTGTTGGTGGATGCAGTCATGGCAATTCCACCTCACAGCGACACCATGTGACAGAGGAGAACTGCCCAAGTGAGTTTTTGCTTTTTTTGCTGAAATCTGTAGGGAAGCAGATGGCCAGGACTTTCTTCCACAGAGGCACTTGGGGGGTTTCAAACCACTGTGCTTTCTGTTGGCAGCTAAGCATGTAACCACTGTCCCATCAAGGCTTCATTGTCCAAACTTAACAAGCTTTGTTGTTTTTGTGAAGTGGCGTTGAGTCAGTTCTAACTCATAGTGACCCTGTATAGGGTTTCCAAGGAGCGGCTGATGAGCTTGAACAGCCAACTTTTTGTGGTTCAAACCGACCTTGCAGTGCCATACCAGGACTCCTTAACACACTTGCTGTTGTTGTTAGGTGCCACTGAGTTGGTATTGACCCATAGCGACCTTATGCACAGCAGACCAAAACAGTGACCGATCCTGGGCCAACCTCACGACTGTTGCCATGCTTGAGTCCATCGATGCTGCCACTTGGCCAATCTATCTCGTTGGGGGTCTTCCTCTTTTTCTCTGACCTTCTACCTTACCAAACATGATATCCTTCTCCAGTGACTGATCCCTCCTGACAATAAGTCCGAAGTATGAGAGATGAAGTTTGGCCATCTTGGCTTCCAAGGAGCACTCTGGCTGCACTTCTTCCAAAACGGATATATTGATTCTTTTGGCAGCCCATGGCACTTTCAATATTCTCCTCCAACACCATAACTCAAAAGCATCAATTCTTCTATGGTCTTCCTTATTCACTGTCCAGCTTTCATATGCATATGAGGTTATTGAAAATACCGAGGCTCGGGTCAGGCGCACCTTAGTCTTCAAGCTGACATCATTGCTCTTCAACACTTTAAAAGGGTTTTGAGCAGCAGACTTGCCTAAAGCAATATGTCATTTGATTTTTTGGCTGCTGCTTCTGTGAGTGTTGATAGTTGATCCAAGAAGAATGAAGTCCTTGACAACTTCAATCTTTTCTCCATTGATAAGAATGTTGTTTATTGGTCCAGTGGTGAGGATTTTTGTTTTCTTTACATTCAGATGTAATCCATACCGAAGGCTGTGCTCTTTGATCTTCATCAGTAAATGTTTTAAGTCCTCTTCAATTTCAGCAAGCAAGGTTGTATCTTCTGCATATTGCAGGTTGTTAATGAGTCTTCCTTCAATCCTGATGCCACGTTTTTCTTCATAGAACCCAGCTTCTTGGATTATTTGTTCAGCATACAGGTTGAATAAGTATAGTGAAAGAATACAACCTGTTGCACACCTTTTTTAATTTTAAACCACTCAGTGTTTACATGTTCTGTTTGAAAAACTGCCTCTTGGTCCAGGTACAAATTCCTCATGAGCACAATTAAGTGTTCTGAAATACTCATACTTCACAATGTTGTCCATAGCTTGTCATGATCCACACAATCGAAAGCCTTTGCGTAGTCAATAAAGCACAGGTAAACAGGGTGGAGGGTCAGAGAAAAAGAGGAAGACCTCCAATGAGATGGATCGGCCAGGTGGCATCATTGATGGACTCGGGGGTGGCAGCGGTGGTGAGGTTGGCCCAGGATCGAACATTGTTTCGTTCTGCTGTGCATGGAGTCGCTATGAGTCGGTTCCGACTCGATGGCACCTGACAACAACAACAAACATCTTTTTGATATTCTCTGCTTTCAGACAAATCAGCAATGATATGCCTCGTTCCATGGCCTCTTCTGAATCCGGCTTGAACCTCTGGAAGTTCTCTGTCAATGTATGATTGTAGCTGTTTCTGTATTACCTTTAGCAAAACTTTACTCGCATGGGATATCAAAGAGATTGTCCAATGATTTCCTCATTCTGCTGGGTCACCTCTGTTTGGAATGGGCACAAATATGGATCTCTTCCAATCAGTCGGCCAGATAGTTGTCTTCCAAATTTCTTGGCAGAGATGAGTGAGTGCCTCCTGTGCTTCCTCACTTTTTTTGTTTTGTTTTGTTTTGCAATCAGCAGCAGCGTTTATTGATCTCAGAAGAACATAGCATGCGGTGGGTCTACTATCTGAATTGCTGGCGACCCAGAAACCTGGCACGCAGGCCTTTTTATAAGCAGTCAGAAAGAGTTTCCTGCGGTAGTATGCAGCTTCTAAACTTATTGGTTGTATCATGCAACATTCAAACTGACTGGTCAGTGTGGGTACTTGAATCTTATCGGCTCTCATTTTGGAGAAGCTCTCCTTGGGGGAGGTCATCAGTGCCAGATGTTGGCGGGTGTGTACCGGTAGGTGGAGAGGAATGCCTGTTTTGGGTGTGTACTGGTAGGAGGAGAGGAATGCCTTTAGGGAAGAGGAACTGAGTTTTTCAAACAAAAATTCTGGTTAGGGTCTTCCTGGTTCTTCATTCCCGGCTTGAGTAAGAGCCTTCTGGGCCAAATCATGGGCCCAGGTGGGTGTCTTCAGTTTGGTTAAGCTGTTCATATTTGGTTTTTTAAAATTAGGAGTTGGACTAATACACAGAAGTTGTTGTCTTGGCTAAGTATTGTTTTGTGGACACAGGCAGTTAGGCTGGTATTGCAGGACCACCAGGCATCTTTTCCAGGCTTATAATATGTATTACTGCTATTATTGCTTGTAGATATTGGAGTGGTACTATTACATAAGTGAAGGTAATTTCCGGGGACTTTGCCAGAATTCTATCATGCATTCTCCAGCATCATTTCTATCTTCAAGGCCATATTTTCCAACTACTGATCCTTCCTCTTTGCTCCCAACCTTTGCATTCTAATCACCAGTAATGATCAATATAGATAGTACTATTTTTCCTTCTTGAGATAGCTAGGTGAACTTTGTGACCAAGCTGAGAGATCTTGATGTCTTAGGAAACTCCAAAAGATTAGAATAATCTTTTCAGGAAACAATGCCAAAGACCAATGTCCTTTTTTGGTGAAGTTAAACTCTGAGTGAAGTGAACTTTAAATGGCTTGGTGGGTAATGATTGTTTTGTCAGTGAGCAGGGTCTGTCATTTTATGATCAGTGCGTCTCCTCCCTGTATCCTTGTTAGTCAGCCTGGGTGAATGGTCATCAGTGTGTGTGGCCCTTGTGAATTCCCTATGCATTCAAAGGAATCCATCAATTTGGGGCCTCAGTGTTCTTTTTCATTAACAATGGCAGTTTGATGCCATGTGAGATTGTCAGTCGTCAGTCTGTTAATTGCTTTGAGGAACAAAATCAGGCAGCAGCAGCGGCACAGGGTAATGATCCCTGGTGGCACAGTGGTTAAGCACTCAGCTGTTAACTGAAAGGTCTGTGGTTTGAACCTACCAGCCATTCTTCCGGAGAAAGATGTGGCAGTCCGCTTCCGTATAGATTGTTGTTGTTAAGTGCTTTTGAGTCAGTTCTGACTCATAGCAAGCCTGTATAGGGTTTTTGAGGATCTGCCGGTGGGTTTGAACTGCCCATCTTGTGGTTAGCAGCCCAGTGCTTATCCTACAGTGACCAGGACACCTACATAAAGATTACAGCCTCGGAAACCCTATGGGTCAGCTCTTCCTATTGGGTCACTATGAGTTAGAATTGACTTGATGAAGTGTGTTTGGTTTGGTTTTCTACCTTTTTGTGGAGCAGTGGCTAAAGATGGACAGTTTGAGCATACCAGCTGCTTTGCAGGAGAA